CCAATCTCTGAGGCCACTTTGTAAGCCCTCGACACTCCAGGGATAACAGCCTCAACGGCTCCCAATCTCTGAGGCCACTTTGTAAGCCCTCGACGCTCCAAGGATAATAGTCTCAACGACTCCCAATCTCCTGAGGCCACTTCATAAGCCCTCAACATTACAGGGATAATAGCCGCACACGACTCCCAAGTGAGAAGTCAAGGCATGCGTATAAGCCCTTGTTCCTGACTCACAAAACAATCAGGGATAGTAGCCCAACGTGGCTCCCAAATATAAGTCGAGGCATGCGTATAAGTCCTTGCACCCCATGATTTTTCGTCTCTCCTTTTAGCATTGAAGGCGGGGGGAGATAGAGGCAAAGCCGAAGGGTTGGACTACTTGACGGTACACTCCTTGAGTAAGTATTCACACTTACCGAGTGTGTGTGGGGATGATCCTCCCTAAAGCTGTGGTGCTTGCCACGAGACTGGACTACTTGACGGTCCTGACCTTGAGAGCACGTCTCGCTTCCGACCCCGCCGGGCTCTCGTATGAATCCCGCACAGCCGAGCTCTACCCCATATCTCGCGGTCTGGAAGGAGGCAGCTCTCTAAATTGCTGGCGCAAAGCCAAACAGTCTGGAATTAAAATCCGACTGCATACAATGCATCACTGCAAACTCCAGCCGAGCTCGTGTGAAGATCTCGTAGCTGGATTATAACTGTCAGGCCCACTTCTCAAGCCGAGCAGACCTCCAGGAACCAAATTACCAGGTTCTATTAATATATTATAGCTGTTTGGAATTTTTTTACAAAACAAAAGATCTCTGCAACAGTTACTTATAACAAGTGAAATAAATGTTACAACTCTGTTACAATTTTTTTTTATCACAAACTGAGCAAGTGCTCTTGGATAGCACGAGCTCAGACCTGTAAACATTGGAGGAATTTGGTTATAGGGACACCTCACCTGTTTAACACACATGTCATTTTTACATTTTGTTTAAAGCAAACCAAAGGAAAAATTTTCAAACTGTTTTCCTAAGGAAAAATTAGTCCCAAAAGCTTTGAGTTAAGCAATAGGAAGTTCAACAAGCAAGCTTCCGGCTGCAAAGAAGCTGCACAGCCAAAATCTCCAACAGTTAGCAATGAGCCACGACTGAAAGCTCAAGTGAAAGCTCCAGCATGTCAGCAATCATTGCTACTGACAATCAATCAGTAATGGACCTATGAAAGTCCATTGCTGCACAAACATACAACAAGATGCAACATGGACATGTGAAAATCCATTGACGCAAATCAAACAAAGGCAGAACTCCATGCTACTGCAAAATAGCAAGGAATCAACCATGCCTATCCCAACAAGGCTGACTATGCAACCTCAGCTGGGAACACCGCTGCAACTTAGCAAAAACGCGCTAAGCTCAAAACAGAAGGAGGATGGGCCACCTATGGCCCACCCCCATGCAACAGAACCTGTGCAGCATACAAACAGATATGCAAGATATAGCAAACAACAAAGAAACAGGAGAACATTTGGCATATACAACAGGTGTTCAAATAGTTACAACAACAAAGGCTCAACAGCCAGATCTGCATAAAGATTAAGGGGAGGGGAGTCTACTCTTTCCTCTTCCTCTTCCTCTTCTTCTTCTGCTCCACTTCCTCTCCAGCTCCGACCTCGGCTTACTGCTGCTGAGTCGTCATGGAATACTCAATTTGTTGGCCAGGGACAATCTCCGGATGCTGCATGGGCCTGGACAGCTTAGACTTCTTGTAACTAAAGCCAGGGAGAGATTTGGGGAGTTTTTCATAAATCTCCTGCTGGATTTTGTACTCCCCATACTCTATGGTCCTCAACAGCTGCTTCTCCACGAAGTTCATCCCTTCTGGCGTGGCCAACCAGCGGTTGATGTGCTTGCCCATCACACTATGAAGCCAAGCGATTGCCGAAAGAGAGGCCAGATCCCTGGAGCACGAAGCCTGAAATTCTGAAATGGCACCATCACTAGCCCTATCAATGGCTGCAGAGTGACCTGCCATGTAGCCCTCAAGCTTCTTTTGCATGGAGGTCACATCAGTTTCAAGCTGCACCACCCGGGCTCTATCAAGGCCGACAGTGACCTGGATATCTTCAAGCTCCTTCTTCAGCTTGTCCAAGTCAGCATCCCTGGAGGCAATGTCGACCTCCACTTCAGAAACCCGAGCCTTGGCACCGTCGGCCTCCTCAGAAAACTTTTGAAGCTCCTCTAATGCCCGGGCTTGCTTAGCAATTTGGGAGCGAGCTTCCTCCAGCTCAGAAGCCACCTTATCATGCTCTGCTTCCGCTCCTTGCGTTCATGGGTAGCCACCACGAGCTTGTCTTCCAAAGTGGAGCGCTGGGCCTTGGAGGCGTATAGCTTACCCTCAACCTCACTCAAAGACTTCCGGAGACGATCTCTCTCTTTCATCACCTGGGCAGAGACATTTGTCATCCTCTGCCACTCCGCCATGCTGATGCGGGCCTTATCTGTGGCAGTGGCAGCCTTGTCCTCGGCGGTCTGAGCCCTCTCTTCGGAGCTTTGGGCATGGGCCTTTGCCTCACTCAGGGCCTGGACAGCTTCATCGGCAGACTTCCTGAGAGCCGCAAACTGGGCTTGGCAGTCTTTGAGTCGGATCTTGGCGTCTTGAGCCCTTTCTTTGAACTCATTCATTTGCCTTTGTGAGGCCTCCAGAGCCTGCTCAGCCGAGCGTCGGCCTTCAAGGAGATCCGACTGCTTCATCGCAGCCTTCTTCGCCTGAAGCTCAGTGGCTTCTGCTCTGAGGGCCCCATAACCCAGAGTGGCAGCCTGTAACAACGGGAGTACAGGGTTAAAAGAGTGAAAGAAAGAACACAACAAAAGGATAATAACAAGAGACGAAGAAAAATTTACTTTGAGCGCACTGGAGGTGAGCTCCTCAGCGACACACTGGGTGTCCATCTCCTCCATAACCCCAATGTCACAGGGCAAATGGAGCTTCTCCAGTAAGTCCAGGGCATTGATGTTCTCAGAGATGAAACCCTGATCATCTCCAACGAAGAACTGGAACCTATGCTTCTTCCGCCCACTCGTGGAATCATGTGGCGGGCCGCTGCCCCTGGCCACTGAGCACTTCTTCCGCCCACCAGCCGGGTGGCATCACTAAGCCTCGGGGTATCCGAGTGCAGGCGGCGCTGAAGCAGCTGGAAGGTTTCATTTTCTTCGTCATCATCACCTTCATCTGTGGCATCTTTAATAACCACATCAGGCGAAGGGGTAGATCCCGCATTAGCCGCGGCATGAGCAGGTACCGCGGCATCGTCCCTTTGTGCCACATCATTGTCTTGATGGGTGCCCTCCTCACCAGCAGCACTCGCATCATCATCATCACCACCATCCTCTAAACTCTCAAATGAGGAAGAAGAGCCACTGGGGGACGGATCGACATACTTCACACCGGCCGAAGGCTGAATTTTCAACCTTGTACCTTCCTGTGCCCGGTCGAGAAGCTCAAAGAAATTGGCACTACCTGGCAAAGTATAGCAAGCACATTAAGAAACAGGAACAACACAGAAGCACGGAAGCACAAGCCGGAGAAGAAAAAGTGTGAGATTGCTTGGAAACTCTGAAAACACGAACACAAAGAAAGCGCAAAGGAGAAAGATGAAAGGTTTCGCCTTTTATACTTTCCCTCAAATCAAACGGGAAGCTTACACGTGGCACACTATTCACTAAGCGCCCAAAAAACTGAAAGGTTTTCTCCAAAAGGCGTGCAAAAAGCGTAATGATGACGCCGTACAATCACTTCAAACGCTATGCCTCGCATTAAATGCTGAAAAGCGGCTATTAATCAAATATGTGGCAAAGGGAATGGGTAAAGATTCCTATTTGTACACATCAGCGTTACTACACGCCACATATTCTCTTAAGTCCACCAAGTATTAAAGACAGTTACCTTGTCCCCCTCAAACTTATACTCTTATACACTTAGAAAATATTCTAAGTCCATAAGAGTGGGGGACTGGTAAGTGGGGGACTCGGGAACGAAATCAAAAAACAAGACTACAACGATCTCAGAACAACACAACAACCTCGGGATTAGTACCAGACAGGTATATCTCGGAAAACAAGCTCTGCGCACACACAATTCTTTACATTTTTTTGCAAATAAATTTTATCAACCCATGGTCAGGACCGTGGATGTAGCAACTAACCCATGAAATAGGAATGGAACGCGAAAGGCGTGGAGCTCGAGCTCAGACCTGTTTGCAGCGGGGTGTCGCTTTCCTCTCCGGACTTCATGGCAAAGCGGAGTACTCTTTTTGCTCTGTTAGGATTTTTTCCCACAGGTTTTTTCCTCAGCGGAGTTTTTAATGAGGTACCCCTTTGTCATGACCATGGAGAGCAGCACCCTTGCCGGGCGCGCAAGCCCAGGAAATTGAAGACTTACTTTCTCTCATCCCAAGTGTTACTTTCGCTTCGGAGAGTGGGGGACTCATGATGGAGTATATTCCCATATACTCCAGGGGTATCGTAATCGCAGGCATAAAGCATCACGGACCCATTCCGGAGTGCATAAAAATGCTAAGTCCACAACTGGAGCCGACCCCAACCAACCAGGGTCGGGAACAAGCGCCAGGCAGCGAAATGACTAAGGACAGAAGGGCAACCGACCCCGACCTCCGTATATGCAACCCTCGCCTTCCCTTCTTTCTCCTACAGTCCAACACGGCCAACTTGGGACTTGCTCGGCATAAATTAGTAGGGCTAGCAATTTGAACCGAAAAATCGAAAACCGACCCGAAAAAACTGAACCGCCAAAGAAAAAACCAAACCGAACCGACAAAATTGGGACCCGAAAATTGGGACCCGAAGTCTACCCCGGTTCGATACCGGTTTATGATATGCTAAAAGTTGGTTGAACCGAACCGAACCGATATTATATACGGAGTATTATTTAATAAAATTATTATTTTCATTATATAAAATTTTGACAAGCCAAGTTCTCTATTCAATACATATTTGGCCCAATTGCCCAAGTCCAATATGCTAGTAAAATTAGGTAATCCTCCGTCATCCTCTTCGCAAGCAATTAAACGGAGCAACTAAAGGCAAGTAAGGCCGCTGCGGAGTGCGGACTACGCTGAACCGCTGCGACGGCGCCGACTATCAGCTAAGCTGCCGTCTACCATCGCTCCGGCTACCATCTCCGGTCGAACATTTCAGGTATGTAATACTCCGTATCTATTATCTTGTTCTGCTATACCAAGATTGGACTTTTGTTTAAGATTGAACTTGTTATAATTGGACTGAGTAAACGAGAACGAAGTTCTCTACATCGATTAAAATTAGGAAACGAAGTTGTAAACAAGCGTAAAATTTTGGCTCTCAAAACGAAGTTGTAAACGAAGTTGCTATACCAGACAAGAACTATATACCCACCTAATTTTGGCTCTCAAAAATTTCCCATCCATCTATTTCTAACTGGATGCCAAACTATGGAATTAGAAGACTCTAATTTTCCTATCAGATGAAAGAAAATTTTCCATAGAATGAATTGCCATGACGTCAACTGCGACTGGGAGATTAATGCGCCACCTCAAAGATGTAAAGGTCAACAGATTCTATTTCGGTATTTCGATTCCTGATTCCATTTCAGTTCGGGGTCGGTTTCCATTTTTCCTAAAACCGAAAGGTCGTTGTGATAGTAACATTAGAGTGAAGAGTCCAATTTTTGAATTACATTTTTTATCTACCATGTCTGTTTGTATGCCACGAAAAGTCTTTTTAATACTCCGTATTAGAAAATACTCCCTCCGGATCTAATTAAATGACCCGTTTGCTTTTCACGGAGTTTAAGACAATTACCGTATACGGAGTACTTTATAAAAAGTAAGAGGTTTTTTTGATACTGTAGCGGTACAGTAGTGCATTGTTTGTAATTGCGCAATGCAATTGCGCCTCATGGCGCGCCTCAGCCAATTCCTAGACTGTGGCGTAAAAGGCATTGCATATGGCGTTGGGAGTGTGACGTACGCAATATTGCACTGAGGCGTACGCAATATTGCATACACAATAAGGCGCTCTGAGGCGTATGCAATAGGAGAAGGTCAGGGTGTAAGGGTATTATTTGGGCCCACCCGGCCCACTTTTAAATTTTTATAATTGATGTAATGATCCCTATTTCAAACCACTAGTTATTGATTGGATTTTTTCAGTCAATCAATCTAATTAATTTAAATTCTCATATCTTAGATTTTTTTAAACGATTCAGAAAGTTTTGGTATTCTATAGTACTTTGAAGTTTGAACATATTACTTTGCTAGGACTATGGCCTCTTATGGTTTGTTTTAATATAAGTATATAACATTTGAAGACTTTTGACAAATATGTTTATTATATATATATATATATATATATATATATATATATATATATATATATATATATATATATATATATATATATATTACGCCTCAAGCATATGCCTCATTGCGCAATGAGGCTTAAGCAATATGCAATATTAAAAAAAACGCCACGACTACGCAATACGCAATTTTGAACCTTGCAGTAGTGGTACTGTAGCTGTTTTTTGAGTGGGATTCTTTCCAAAAAGGAAAGGAGACAATTAATTTGATACACAAAAAAGGAAAGTGTGACAAGTAAATAGATACAGAGGGAGTGTGATTCTTTCTTATAGGCTAAGCATCCTAAGTCTTAAATCAATGAGCTCTATGCCTCTATTATTTATTTGTCCATGTCAAGATAAACTGCTTGAGATTTTTTTCCCTTTTACATTTTCCATTAAATTTCCATCATTTGCAATGGAGCCAAAGATTCATTATTTTTTGGCTTGAGATTATGATGGAATAAAGCAAAATGACTCACTAAACTGTCTGTGCTTCTTTGTTATGGAGAAGCAGTCAGTCCATGCAATTTTGGACGCGATTTTCACTATGGGTCATCCGGAAACAGTCTCTCTGTACTTTAGTACAGGGGTAAGACTGCGTACATCCGACCCCCCCTTACCCCACCGTAGGTGGGAGCCTTTGCGGCACTGGGGTAAATGAAAATGATGTTACATTTTCCATTAAGCCCTGGTAATATATTATCTAAGACTCTAAACTAGTTTTGTAAACTAAAAGTTAAGGGGGTGAACACACACATATATATCTAATTAAAATATGTTTTTTTATCAAAATATTACATATATAATATGCAGTAGAAAATTTGAAATTCCTATGTGGGCGGTCGCCCCATGTACCCCCCCCCCCCCAAAAAAAAAATCCGTCCCTGGTGTTAATAGATTTATAATAGATTTTTATTGAGATATTTTCTCCCTCTATATATATATTCTTTTCTGTTTTATATCGATAGTTTGATACATTAATCTTTTACGGGAACACTAGCAAATATCTTTACTCTGCAATAGATTAGAGTATTAGACATCTGCTGGTGTTAATGATCATTCTTTGTTCAATTTGTTTAGTGAGGCAGTAACTCATTTCACCTATAGATTCAAAAGTTTGAACTTCTTTGTTCTGGGAGCCATGATTAGTATTGCTGTAGCTAGATTGTTGCTATAGATTATTGATTGTCTTCACAGATCTATCGGTACATTTTATTGAAAGCCACAAAAGACCAATTACTAAAGCAAATTATAGTCTTTTGATGAAATGTTGTTAAAGGAAACTGCATCATCGTAATATACTTTGTGTGTGTGCATTTGTGTATGTGTGTATGTGTATATATAGGTCATCAAGTAAAATCTGTAGTATTTTTGCAGGAATTTCAACTGTAGAAACTATGAATTTGATATCTCAAAATGCTGCTTCTAAAAACCGATCTGGCAAGAAGAAAAGGGTGGTAATCGATGAGCATCCACTTCTCGATAGCAATGAACAAACTCAAGAGATGAAAACATCTGATGCAGCAGACTCAAATAGCAATGAACAAACTCGAGAGATGAAAACATCTGATGCAGCAGACTCAGGTCACCGCAAAAGAAAGAAGAATAGCAAGGGGTTAAAGTCAGAGGAGGTGGAGGAAATGAACAGGCTTGAGAATGTCTTGTTTGGCTCCTTACACTCACCTATTGAATATGGAAATGAAGAAGCTGACAAAGATTCTTCATTGTTTGTTGTGGATCGAATTGGCAGCAGTTCATTGACTCCTTACGAACATGATGAAACACAAATGCTAGATGGAAGAAGTGATGAAGAGGAGGAGGAGACAAAGGAACGGAAACCAGTTTGGATAGACGAAGAAGAAAAGAAGACCAGCATAAACCTGGCCGCAGTAAACAGATTGAGAAAGCTAAGGAAGGAAGAAGATGAGACTGTAGTTTCTGGGTCCACATATGTGAGCCGATTGAGAGCACAACATGTTAAGCTGAACCCAGGGACTGAGTGGGCCCGACCTGATTTCCAGAGAGGAGGAAGCTTATTATCAGATGATGAAGATTCTGATATAGAAAACGGCAATATCCTTCGTACAAATGAAGAACTTGTTGTGAAAAGCAGCACAAAGCTGTTACCAGGAATTTTAGAACATTCTAGACTGGTTGATGCGAACAGAAAGGAGTATTCAAACGGTCCTATAAACTCTGTCCAGTTCCACAGGAACAGCCAGCTTCTTCTTGTTGGGGGATTGGACAAAAGGCTTCAATTCTTTCAAGTTGATGGGAAAGAGAACACCAAAATACAAACTGTCTTCATTGAAGACTGTCCGATTAAAAAGGCAGCTTTTTCGCCCGATGGTTCTCAAGTCATCATATCTGGTAGACGAAAGTTCTTCTATGCCCTTGATTTGGTCAAGACAACAGTGGATAAAATTGGACCTCTGGTTGGAAGAGAGGAGAAGAGCTTGGAAAGCTTCGAGGTATCTCCCAATTCTGACATGATCGCATTTCTAGGCAATGAAGGGTATATTTTGTTAGTGTCCCTCAAATCAAAGGAACTGATTGGCACCCTAAAGATGAATGGGACAGTTCGGTCAATAGCTTTCACCAATGATGGCCAACAATTATTGAGTTCTGGTGGCGACGGTGAAATTTACCACTGGGACTTGAGGAAAAGGGCTTGTTTTCACAAAGGTGTTGATGAAGGCTGCATTACTGGCACTTCTCTCTGTGCCTCACCAAACGGGGCACTATTTGCAGCCGGTTCAGACAGTGGGATTGTGAATTTGTACAACAGGGTGGATTTCTTGGGGGGAAAGAGGAAACCCATGAAGAGAATTGAGAATCTCACTACCAAAGTTGATTATATGAAGTTCAACGGGGATTCTCAGATACTTGCTATATGTTCGAGCATGAAGAAGAATAGTATGAAGTTGGTGCATGTTCCTTCATGCACCGTTTTCTCAAACTGGCCTCACCAGAACCAAATGCTGCATTATCCGAGGTGTTTGGATTTCAGTCCTCAGAGTGGATTTATGGCTTTGGGGAATGCCAAAGGGAAAGTTTTGCTATATAAGTTGCATCATTACCATCATGCATAAGTTTTGGCCTTAATTTACTGTTTTTTTAATCTTATTTGTTGCCATGTGGTTATTTATTTGTATGCAAAAGAAGCACACCCCCACCAACATTGATAACGTTGTAGACTTGTAGTGTTTTGATGAACTTATGATTTTGGTTATGGTTTGGCTCTTTGGTATTGTTTCTGGCCTATTGCAACTTAAATGAGATGCAACTTACCGCAATAGAGGAATTCTTATATTATCCGTTAGGGAAAACGTTAGGAAAACTATCAGATAGGCTATCGTATTATCATGACCTCTTCTTCTCTTCCATCTTTCTTAAACATTCGCCCCAGGTCACGACCTTCTGCAAACATCACTGCTGCCCACCGGAAGTCCACCACACCTGTGCCGCTGGCGGACTTCACCGCACACAGACGCGCACCCTTCACTGCACACTATCACTGCAGTGCCGCCCTTCACTTTATCCAGAAATCTGGCGAACTCCAACTCCAGCGACGGCCACAGTCACCAGAGATGGCTGCCGCACTTCCCGGCGGTCGCGGCGCAGTTATCGGCGGTGAGGGCAAACCTTGAATCCCCCCTATTTGAATGGGCATCTGTGGGATAAAAGAAATTCAAGAAGGAAGATGGCGCAGGGCAGTGAGTTTGGTGTGCAGACTGCAGTGGCCAGCGGCGCAAGGGCGGTGGCCGGCAGTGCTGCTGGGAAGAAGTCTACTTGGGGCCTGCGCAGAAGAGAAGAGGAAAAGAAAGGAGAAAAAAGAAAGAAAAGAAAAAGAAAGGAAAAAAAGAAAATAAAAAGAATTCAATGTGGGCCGCCACGTGGACCGTTAACCGGGAACCTGAAATCTACCTGCTAAAATGCTCAATTGAACGGTTTTAAAAGTTCGGGAGTTCAATTGGATGTTTTTCAAGTACGAGTGCGTAATCGTCAGTTTCGCTATAGTACGAAGGCTTATTTGATATTTTTCCGTATCAGTTATATTTATTAGTTATGTGATAATTAAGGATTTCGTCTTTAATCAAATTGAACTCTTCTTTTCACCAAATAAATGACACGTGAAAGAAATGGCAACTACTTCAACTACATTTTCATTCAGTTGTGTACTACCAACTGGTTGTAATGATGAAAATGCTTTGTTTGTATAATATGCGAACTTATACATAAGCGAGGACGAATCTACTGATTGTGAGTTCTTACTAAGCTATGGAGTGACTCTTTTCATCCAATATAAGGTGGGTTTGCCACACCTAGTTGGAATATATTTTTGTAAGATTTTTTTTATAGTTGCTAACCTTTAATAACCGAAAATATCTTAAAAGAAAATTGTTAGTTGTTTGATAAAACGTTGATTGTTTGATTTTGTTCTGTTTAGTATATAAATTGTTCTGACTAGTTAATACTAAAAGCTACAAACTTTTCTAAAAAAAAGGATGACCCATTGACACCTCATCCCTGAGAGTCCCTCACAACAGACATTTACTCCATTTGGGAGGATGTAAGTTGAACTTTGATCACACTCTAATAGAAAGTGAGTGAGGCTCCGTCCAAAATCATTGTTTGGAGTTGAACTCGTGACGTCTCCCTTGTGACACCTTCTCATACTAGGTGAGATACGCCTCCAGTAGCTACAAACTTTTCTTATTTGATACTCATTGTAGCTTCTCAACAAAGATTATTTATTTTGAATAAAGCTCTTAAAAACATTTGCTGACTGAGTCACTGTGATTAACCCCCCACCATCCTGTCGGGTCGGGGTGGGAGACTCTTGGGGTGGGAGATTCCACCTTTTGGACCAACTGTATCTGATCTATCAAATTCTCATTTATGCCTCGTTTTCATTTTTCAGCTATGATTAGATTTATTTATCGGTTTATACTTGGATATATTAGATTAACCGCAACCTGACTTCGTCGATACATTAAATTCTCCACCATTTTATACATATTTATTCAGTAAATTCAAATTTCACTGTAACCCAGCACCGTCAATATATTCACTCAGCAAAGTATTTTTTAATTAAAGCCTTGGTTTTATTGTTATACATCAATATTTTGTTCAATTTTCTGTTATGAATAATTATAATATGAAAAATCAAACATTTCGATGTACAAATAAATAAATTTGGAGATATTTTTTAGTAATTATTTTAGACCTATATTTAAAAGAAAAATAATAGAATGATATTAAAATATAGTTTAACCCTGAGATCTTAATTTTAACACTTGAATGTATTTAGGAAAAACTTTAGGTATAAAAATCTTGAGTAGTCAAAATGTCATGTTTTTTTTTTCAACTTTATATATCCAATATTAGTGTCATACGAAAGAGAATGAAAAATTATGAAATTTGATATTTTTTTATAAAAATTAGAATACAAATGAAATAGTTATAAGTTATAACTTATTAAATAAAATTGGGATAATAATTTTACATGGGTCCATGTCTTCCTTTGCGTTGTACGCTCACCAAGCTATTCAGCGAATGCTTCCAGCTTGGTCTTCCTTTCCGTGAATAAGGTCTCACATATCCACTCATGGGGTGCTCCAAAGCCACTTTTGCAGCTGTTTTGGGAGTGAAAAGCTCAAAAATAGCCTTTTAATTCCTGGGTTGCAATCAGCCTTAAAGCGTATACTGACGTTGGTATATGAATTCCATTATTGTTGGAGAAGGGAAGCTTAAAAATATCTCGGACGTGTTTATTTTGGTTTGAAATCCTCTAATATGACCTGGTCTTATTTGATCTGCTAAATGTTTGATATCTGTGTATTTTACAAAGTTGAAATCTTGATCGGTGTACGATGCTAGAACCGCGCGCTGAATATAAGAGCATTTTGGATTTTTATGAAGAGGGTTCAAAGTTTAGATCATCCAAAAAAGTAGAGTGTAAAGTCAAAATATAATTATCCATAATAACATTTTGTTAAGAGGGTACCACAACCCACAAGGGAGATGATTGTGGTTCAACTCAAAATGGTGAAAACGCTAAATCACATAGAACAGACTATGTATTTGTGAGTTGTGACACTCTTATCTTGTTTATCTTCTTCCATTTCAAGTGTATTATATCTCATTGCAAAGTTCATTTTGAATTCTAAAGCTATTGCTCCGACTTCATTTATAATGCATTAAGTTAATTATACGGATTAACCTGAAATTTACAAACATTTCCGATTTCACTCTAAACTCGTATATAATTTGATCTATACGAGAATCTCGTGCAGCATTATTTGTCTATGCAGACAATTAGGTACTAATGTATGTCAAACGTACAAATTATACATAATGGATGATTTATACTTATCCAACTCTAAAAGAGCAATCAGAGCATATTTGGTATGCTCTCTTATCATTATTACGCAACTTTACATAGGAAATTCTGGAGTCCATGAAACATCCCGCGGGATGTAGTAAACTCTATTAACAATTCTTGATACGTGCAAATTTCAATTAAAGACCAGAATTTGCGAGTGATGAAATAATTGAATTAGTAATCAGTATAGACCGACATTTTGGGAAGCTTAATACGGAGTAATTTCTAAATTTTGTACGTTTACAACATGTTCGTTTGTAGTGGTTGATTCTCATGCTCAATTGACTTTGTGCTTTCTTTGCTGCACATTTGAAAAGCAGTGAGAGAATTAGGTTGGTAAGATATGTTTTGCTGTCGAAATCTTTTCAATTTAATATGCTTTTTAATTAATGATAATATCTTCTAGAGTGATAATGTCTTCAATTATTGCCGCAGTTCTGGTTGTGATTGCAAATTGAGTTTGGATTTTCTACAGAGCAATGCTAGTTGAACTTGTGTTCATAGGGTTCAGTTTGGCCGATTTGAAGTGCCAACTGTACATTAGTTGTCTTATCTTTAGAGTAATATACTCCGTATATACACACGCATAGGGAGCAAGAACGGACTCCCAAGAGAGAAATAAGAACGAATCTGGACCGTTGGATTTTATTATGTGTAACTGAATTGTATATTTCGTGAAATTGAAATGCGCATTAGATGATATTGAAATTTGCAAAATAAAAATTTAAACTCGAGTGTGCATTAGATGAAACTGAAATGTGCGGAATAAAAGATACAAAAATAACATCACAACGTACCTTTTATTCTGCACATTTTAGTTTCACCTGGTGCACATTTCACTTTAACCTAATGCACAATTCAGCGTAACATATGTCACTGTATTGTACCATTTAAGCTGCACATTTCAATTTCACCTAATGCATATCACAGTTTCATCTAATGCACATTGAATTTCACTTAAAGCAAATCTAACGGTCCATATTTGTTCTCATTTCTCTCCTAAGATCATGTTCTTATTTGAACCAAAACTTATATACACACACACACATATATATAGATAAGAGATCAAATACAAACAATGCTTAAAATACTAACCTACAAACTCAATAATATGCAACACTGCAGAAACTACCATCTCTGTTGAAACTACTAAAGAATGAACAGAACCTGAAGGTCAAGATCATCAGATCTGACAGAGGAACAGAGTTTGTCAACCAGGTCATAAAGGATTTCTGTGACCAGAATGGAACAATGCATCAACTCTATGCAGCCAGAACTCCTCAACAGAATGGAGTTGCAGAAAGAAGAAATAGAACACTGAAAGAAGCTGTAAGGACCATGATTGCTGAATCTGGTCTACCTCTCAGATATTGGGCTGAAGCAATCAACACTGCATGCTACAATCAAAACCGGAGCATGATTCACAAAACTCATAAGAAGACCCCCTATGAACTCTGGAAAGGAAGGAAACCCAACATCAACTACTTTCATGTGTTTGGATGCAAATGTTATATACTCAACAATGGAAAGGAACAACTCAAGGTGTTCCAGGAGAAAGCTGATGAAGGGATATTCATAGGCTACTCAAGCACAAGCAAAGCCTATAGAATACTCAACAAGAGAATCCTCCTTGTTGAAGAATCAATTCATGTCAAATTTGATGATCTCAACTCTGTTGAAATTATAACAGAAAACCTGAAGAAAGCCAGTCTTGAAGAAACACCAGAAGTGGTCACACCAGAAGTGGTCGCACCAGAAGTGGTCACCAACTCTTTTATACCAACTCACATTCAGAACCCCATCTTACAAAACAAAGACAGTGATGAAGAATCAGAAGATGAACAAGAAAGACCCAGACAACCTCTATCAGAACCTGATCTAACTTGGCTAAGAGATCACCCTCC